TTAAAAATGCATTTTTGCATGGTGACCTTAAGGAAGAAGTCTATATTGAGCAACCTCCGGGATTTGTTGCTCAGGGGGAGTATGGTAAAGTTTGTCGACTTCGCAAATCTCTTTATGGTCTGAAACAGAGACCTCGTGCATTGTTTGGGAAATTCAGTCAATCAATTGAACAATTTGGAATGATAAAAGGCAAATCAGACCACTCTGTCTTTTACAAACAAACAGAATCAGGTGTCACGTTGCTTGTGGTATATGTTGATGATATTGTGATTACAGGGAGTGATAATGCAGGTATTTTGGCCCTTAAGAATTTTCTGCATAGTCAAATCCAAACGAAAGATCTTGGCTCTTTGAAATACTTTTTGGGAATTGAGGTAACACGAAGTAAGAAAGGCATATTTCTATCTCAACGTAAATATGTACTTGACTTACTAGCTGAGACAGGGAAATTAGGGACAAAACCAAGTACAACACCCATGGTTCCCAACGTGCAACTCACTCAAGAAGGCACACCATTTGAAGACCCAGAAAGATATAGAAGACTGGTTGGAAAGCTTAATTATCTCGCAGTCACCCGTCCAAATATTGCTTATTCTGTGAGTGTAGTGAGTAAATACATGTCATCTCCAACCATTGATCATTGGACTGCAGTAGAACACATATTATGTTACTTAAAGGGTGCACCAGGACGAGGTATTGTTTATCAAAACCATGATCACATGAGAATAGAATGTTTTGCAGATGCTGATTGGGCCGGTTCTAAAGATGATCGAAGATCTACATCTGGTTATTGTGTCTTTGTTGGTGGTAATCTTGTATCTTGGAAGAGTAAGAAGCAGAATGTGGTCTCTCGTTCGAGTGCCGAATCAGAATATCGAGCTATGGCACAATCTGCATGTGAGATCGTATGGATAAGTCATTTATTGACCGAGCTCGGACTGAAGACATCAATGTCTGCTAAATTGTGGTGTGATAACCAAGCTGCTATACACATAGCAAACAATCCTGTATTTCATGAGAGAAGAAAATAATATAGAGGTCGATTGTCATTTTATTCGAGAGAAGATACAAAAAGGATTGATCTCTACAAGATATGTGAAGACTGGGGAACAACTTGGAGATTTGTTCACTAAAGCACTAAATGGAATTCGAGTTGGTTATTTATGTAACAAGTTGGGCATGATAAATATCTATGCTCCAACTTGAGGGGGAGTGTGAAAGTATATTAGAATATACTTTAGAATATGCTTTAGAATATATTAGGAATATACCATATATAGTATTATTGTATAGCATCTTTTATAGGAATATTCTATCTTTGTAATCTATATTTATAGGGCCTTACCCTTCAATGAAACACATAGAAAATCTTTCCTCCACTCTTCAATATTATTCTAGTTTATATTTCAACAGTTTCCATTGTTTACATGGAAGGAGGAATTCTTTATTTAGTCAATTAATTGTTTTACTTTTACTCTCTTTTCATTGTGAATAGGTGATCAGCAATGAACCATTCTTCCCAAATCAAAGTTGCACCATCTTTTCCGTCCAAAAGAGTAAGGCCCAAAGTCCCCAACAACCTCCATTCTTCAAGCGGTGACATACCAGATGGAGAGCTAGAGAATTACTACTTTTCCCGGCTGGAGACATGGTGGTGGAATCCAGGAGGAACTCTCTTTCAAGAAAACAATTTTTATAGTTTTTCTTCTAATTTCATTCGCTAAGTGACACTTAGTTGTGGAATTCGAAGCAGCAAGGCCTATTCAAGGAGAAACAGTTATCCGATTCAATGAATCTTTATTCTTTTCAAATTTGAACTGCACTCATTGATACTCCCTCTGTCCCGAATTGAATTGCAAACTTTGACCGGTACAAGGATTAAGAAATAACAATAAATGATGCTTGTTTTTTACACTTTTGCCCATCTTTCTAAAAGTAGACGCCTTTAAGTTAATGGGGAAAAAGTAAAAGTAAGGGTAAATTTGTCACTTTATTCTTATTTACATACCTAAAATAGAAAGTGGAAAACCATTTTGGGACAACCAAAAAAGGAAATTTTGCAAATCAAATTAGGACGGAGGGAGTATTATTTTGAGTCTTTTTATGGTGAGCTAGTGTGTACCATCTTAGCATGGACCACTTTAGGCGGGAACACTATTCCAATTATATAGTAATAGATTACAGACTATATCTTTATCATACTAGTATAAAGACTATTGATAACGTACTTTTTGAAAAACATCTAACACTGTGTTTCGCACGGTTACTATACAAGCCTTGAACATTGATGACATTGTTTCCTTGGAATGCGGTTTCTATGAAGCAGAATGAGATGGACGAGGCTCTCTCATCACTTCATCTTCTGCTACTTTGTTGTTCTAAAATAAATTAAGTCAGAAACCCAAGAACATAAATATTGATTCAATTACTAGAATTGACTTGGGCGAAATTAGCTGCCAAATTTTTGAACTGTTCTTACATTAACTTTCTTTGACATCAGTTTTACTCCATGTACCGGACAAGGTATGTACAATAGACATGTAACTATAGAAGAGAATCAGAGATATGGGAATACAATATAGACTATACTTCTTTGGCAAAGGAAGACCTAGTCCGACTGGGAGCATGGGTCTAAGGGACTTGCAACAAACGGCCAGACGCGAGTGAGGAGGCTGGTATGGGCACTTTGGCAGTCTCCAGTCCAGATTTAATTGCAGCCTCAGTCCGCGCTTCCTAGGTGGCGAATGGTATCAGCACTTTGGTTAATTTATTTCGACTTTTTGGACATAAACATGACTTCATAAAATGGTTATTTGTTTTTAATTTTTATTTCGATGTTTCTGTGCCGTACGGCTTGTACCCACACAAACATGACATCATATAATTTTAATCTTGATATTTTGAGAATAGAGTTTTTCCGCCCTCAACTTCTACTTCTGCTTCCTTTTCAGTTTCATTTTCAGTCCCAGTGCTACTTAGTTTGTATGTGTAGAAGTATATGACTAGACATACACACGTACATATATAACCCCAAAAAAATGTGTTTGACTGTCTGCTCACCAATTATTCTAACCTAGACCAAACAAACATGTAATACTCATGAATTCATTAAGATGATATAAAAACTAATTCCATAAGACTTGCTCATCAAGAATGGAATCAATAAGGTGGTCAGCGTAGACCACTCTATAACCATACAAAACACCAAACTAATAACCGCGAAACGAATTCATCAAGAGCTCTGATTTTATATCTTAGAATCATTGAACGATCATAAACAGAGCAAACACAATATATCAAAAGGTTAAAAAGGTAGTACTCCCTTGGTTTCATATTAACGTTTTCTTTTCAAGTAAATAGTCTTTTAGATTTATATTACTACTATTAATCATTCGAAACTACATACTTGAAACAACCCTAAAACTTCTAGATAAGAAAAACGACCTCTGAATAAATAAATATGATACAAATTTAAATATATGATGAGTTAAGAAGGAGAATAATAAGATGCAAAAGTATGATTGCAGAAAACAATCGAACACATTTAGGAAAAAGAAGATGGTAGAGAAAGGGTGAATCCAAAAATACCGAACGGAAAAGCTAGGAACAAATCGTCTTTCTGAAGGATCCATATATGGCTCGGATTTGTGAGGAACAAATCGTGATTTTGAAGAATCCATATATGGCTTCTCTTCCGTGCACATCTAGGGTTTGGTGTTGTAATGCTTGCGGTAGGTCGTTTAATTTCGTAGAATACTAGTACGGTACCGTGCATCCGCACGGGTTGTCACGGTTTTGTTAGTAATTTATACTCCGTAATTGATTACAATATAGACTTTTAACATATATAAAATAGAGTTTTTCAATATTTAAAACTAAAAATGGGGGATGGTCACATTGAACATTACTATATAAATGTGATGTTTGAGTAAGAACTCAAGGATAAATCAAGTACAATGATTAAATTACAATCCTTCATACCTTCACACAAAATTTCAATAAACAATTTCTACTTTGAGATTTCACAATTGGTAAAAGTACATCACTTCAATGTGAGAAGGGACTATTAATTTATTGACCAATATTCGGTGTCAGTGTTTTAATGCATTTTTTAGGCTTCTTGTTTATACTAATGAAATGTTAATTTAACATTTGAAAAAATCATACGTCTGATGCTTAACTAATATTCTTTTCTTTCACTTTTTCCTTTTCTCCGATTCTCTCCTATGTCTCCCGTAAAAGACTCCTCCACGAGAGTCAGGATCACTCACACATCTTCTTCGTCTCGGAACATCCACTTATGTCTTCTTCAGTTCCTCCTCCAAAAATCCTTAGACCTGGAGCCTAGATCATCTCTGGTTTCTGTGAAAGTATCTTTCCTCCACTCTTCAATATTATTCTAGTTTATATTTCAACATGGTATCAAAGACATTAATTTCAGTTTAGTTTCAGACTTCAGTTTATTCATTCATATCTCAGTTTAGATTCCAGGTTCTTTCTCCGGGAACTAATTTCAGTCCACAACCTTCAGAACCTCTTACCCTTCCCAGAACCTCCCAGAACCTCAGGAACCTTACACACCCTTCTGTCTCCAAGAAACTCACTTCTACAGAACCTCTATCCAGACTCTTATTCCAGAACATCAAAAGACCCTAGAATCAGATTCTTAATCCAGAAAATCAATTAGTTGCTAAATTTTTTTTCTCCCAGAAACTCAGTTCAGTTAGCATTCTTCAAGCAGAATTTAAGTCAATTATACTCAGGAGGTGCGCCTACCTCAGACGACCCAGCGGCCTAAATCCGACACCCAACTGCAAGGCGAACGTGCTACACGCGCCACCACAAGTCTGGCGCGTGACACAGCTTTTCTGGCCAGCGAATTGGTCGGAACTCCTCAACAGGCTCGCCTGAAGTCCTCTACTGGTTACGCTACATCTCACCAGGTTACGCTACTTCTCTCTCATTCTTTCTCTACAGAACGTTCTGGTCGCTAGCTGGGGTCTGGCATCGAAGTATCCAGACATATGCACGTTCTGGTCTTACGACGCTTGGGTCTACCGTCTGGACATACGCAGGCTCTTTTATTTATTCCTTGGGTCTGGAATCGGGCTTCTGTCTGGAGTAGCACTCAAAGCCCAAGCAAATTGCCCAAGCAATAGGTCAAGTTTTCATAAATGGGCTGCTGTAAGTTTTCATTGGATATCTCAATTTTGAGCTTAATTACATTTTCATAAAAAAACAAAAAAGGGGAAAAAATGTCTTGTACGGGTCAATTTGACAGAGGCATAATATGCAATTACTGCAAGAGGTCCGGGCACTTGATTAAAGAATGTAGAAAATTGATGTTCAAAAATCAAGGATATCAACAAGCTCATGTTGCTTCCGCTACAAGTTCATCTGATGGATCAATTGCTATTTCTTCAGACGAGTATGCCAAATTTATTTGCTACCAAGAATCTCTAAAGCATTCCTCTGTCCCTATCTCGGTAACCGCTAATTCAGGTATTTCAAACACGTGTCTTGTTTCCTCATCCTCGAAATGGGTCATTGACTCGGGTGCCACAGATCATATGACCGGTAATCCTAGTCTATTCTCGTCATTTCATTCATATTTACCTACTGCTAGTGTCACTCTAGCTGATGGATCTACCTCACCCGTTCTTGGATCTGGTACTGTTGTTCCAACTTCTACATTACCATTATCGCCTGTTTTGAGTCTTCCTAATTTTGCATTTAATCTGCTTTCCATCAGTAAAATCACTCGTACTCTTAATTGTTCTGTAACATTTTTTCCTGGATATTGTGTGTTTCAGGATCTGTTAACGAAGCAGATTATTAGTAAAAGACATGAGTCAGCTAGTCTATATATTTTGGATGCATCCATCACAAAGGGTATCTCTTGTGTTGGGGTTGGGACTTTGTTAGATGCTCATTACCGATTAGGACATCCATCTCTCCCATTAATGAAACAAATAAATCCCGAATTTAATAAGATGACCTCTTTACAATGTGAGTCATGTCAATTTGCGAAACACCATCGTACTAGCTTAAGCCCGTGAGTTAATAAACGAGCAAATGCTCCATTTGACCTTGTTCACTCTGATGTTTGGGGTGCTTGCCCGGTTGTGTCTAAAGCTGGTTTTAAATATTTTGTTACCTTTGTTGATGACTATTCTCGTATGACATGGTTGTATTTCATGAAACGCCGATCTGAGTTGTTCACTCATTTTTTTTCCTTTTGTGCTGAAATTAAAACTCAGTTTAACGTTCTTGTTCGGGTGTTAAGAGGAGACGATGCCCAAGAATATCTTTCTGCTACATTTAAGTCATTTATGCTTCAAATGGCATTATTCATCAAACTTCATGCGTTGATACACCTCCTCAAAATGGAGTTGCGGAACGAAAGAACCGACATCTGTTAGAAACTGCAAGGGCTCTTCTATTCCAAATGAATGTGCCTAAACAGTTTTGGGCAGATGTCGTGTCTACTGCATGTTTTTTGATAAATCGAATGCCATCTTCTATTTTGAATGGTAAAGCTCCTTATCATTGTCTATTTCCAAACAGAGAGCTTTTTCCTATCCCACCTAAAATATTTGGTTGCACTTGTTTTGTTAGAGATGTTAATCCTCATCTAACAAAGTTAGATCCGAAATCATTAAAATGTATTTTCTTGGGTTATTCTCGAGTCCAAAAGGGGTATAGATGTTTTTGTCCGAGTATTGGTCGGTATCTTGTTTCTATTGATACATCATTTCATGAAAATACACCTTTTTCATCATCTAAGGCAGATATTCGTGAGAGTAATGATGATATTCTCATTTACACGATGACTATTCTCGAGTCCACACTTTCGACAAATACTCCACAAGTTACTGTTCCTGACCCTAGGCCTCCCGTACATTTGGTATACACCCGTCGACACAAAGCACCTGATCACCCTCCACCAACGATACATGTGATTACTTTTCCTGATACTAGTTCGACTCCGATCTAATGTCCTGAACCAGTACCTGCATCTTCAGATCTTGTCTCCACATCAGATCTTGATCTCCCAATAGCACTACGTAAAGGTACACGGTCTTGTACTCATCCTATTTCTTCATTTGTGTCGTACAATCAGTTATCTCCTGCTTCATGTTCTTTTATTGCTTCCATTGATTCTATTTCTGTTCCCAAATCTGTCAAAGAAGCTTTGTCTCATCCTGAATGGCGTCAAGCCATGGTAGAGGAAATGAATGCTTTAGATCTTAATGGTACGTGGGATTTGGTTGACTTACCTACAGGGAAGAAATCTATTGGATGTAAGTGGGTCTTTGCTGTTAAAGTTAACCCAGACGGATCTGTTGCTCGGTTGAAAGCCCGATTAGTTGCGAAGGGTTTGTTTGGAAATTGATGTAACGTACCTCGAAAGTACGGCAGCGGAAGTTTAAAATTTTCCCAAACAGATCTTCCTGATTATGACAAAATAACGAATATGATAATAATAACGGATCTGAGTTAGAACTTACAGATCTTCCAGCCTAGCGGTGATAATCCTTGACCTTTGGTATCCACGTGATTTCTCCTTTCCGAAAGAACGGTTAGATCTCCCTAAGAGAAAGGCTAGGAAATCTCTTCGCAGGAAAATAAACTGATAATACTGAATCTGAAAACTGGTCTACAAATTATGAAGGAGAAGGATGTATTTATACTAGTTCGAAACTAGTTTTTCAATCACAATGAAAGTCTTTCTAATTAATGAGTTCTAATCCTACTAGGACCAATACTCCTAATTAATTAAATAAGTAGATAAAACAAAACAAAATAATAATAATAATAATTGAGATGTGGCTGCACGCCACTTTCTAATTATTATATATTAATATTTATTTTATTTACTTTTCTTTTAATTCCAAATTACAAAAGAAAATATCTACTTTATTTAACAATAAATACATCTTATTTAAGTATGATAAATCTAATTTATCTTACTTAATTAATTCTATCAAATAGAACTCTCCTTCAGCTTCATGAATTAAATATGTTTAATCTGATTAATATTTAATTCATTTTCAGTATTACGAATTAAATATTATTTAATCCAATTAATAATATTTAATTCCTTCTAACAATTCAATCGGAAGGTATAATCACTTGTTGTGTGACCCATAGGGCCTTATATATTAAGCACTAATCAAATTAAGGTCTTAGCGAATCCCTAGACGATTCTCCAGACAAACTTAATATATAAGGACGTTTGCGAGGACTATACAAACTCCCTGTAATATAGAGCTCATAGTGATACGGTCCTTTCATTCAACGAACATTCAACTAAGTCTAGAACATGATATAGTGTCTATCCCAATAACTCAGTCTCTGTCTCTCAATCTTTCTAGATGATCCATAACGATCATATTCGATATCCAAAACGAATATATCTTTGCATTGGCCAATGACTTTATGATCCATCTAGATATGAGAAGTAGAATGTTCTCTCTTAATCTATTATGAGGAATGAATCCTTTCTTGGCTCAACTACTACTCCATGTGCTTCGTGATGCACCTAACACATGCCGTATCTACCCCGATTGGAGTGCAAGCGTTGGTCATGGTCAAAGTACATCACTCCGCACATGTAGTATGTATTGACCTCAAGTCGGAGGACTATTACACTACTCTATACGCCGATAATCCCATAGACACATGAATAGAACTTATCAAATGCTTTCTCGGTGGGTATGCCAATATTCTCTAAAATATCTATGTGACCATCATGAATTACAGGAACTCATAGTCGTGAGATCAACTATACTTTCTAAAAGTATGATGCAGTCCACATACCAATCTTATCGTATATCATCAATATCCCATTCTTGATGATCATTGATTGGGGCTATTTTAGGACCTTATGTTATATCATATAAGCTCCCACTTACTTATTGACAACATAAATCCAAGGGAACACAATTATGAATAAAACATTGACAATCGAAAACAATCATTCATAAAGTGTAATACCGTGTATATATCAAATATAAAAACTAAATGTGATCAAGTACATATGTCTTTAAAGAAATGATTGTCGCTAGGACATATATACTAACAATCTCCCACTTGGCCTAGTGCCAATCACCAATGCGTCTAACACCTAGATTCTCAAAATGTCTAGTATGTTTCTCACAGCTCAAAGGTTTGGTGAAGGGATCAGCCAAGTTGTCCTCAGTGGAAACACGTTCTATTGCAACCTCTCCTCTTGCTATCTGCTCTCGAATCACATGATAGCGCCTCGGCACATGTCCATTCCTCTTGTCGCATCTTGGTTCCTTTGCTTGTGCAACAGCACCAGTATTGTCACAATAAATGGTTATTGGATGACTATCATTTGGAACAACCCCTAATTCTTTGAGGAATTCACGTATCCATACGGCCACTTTAGCTGCTTCTGATGCAGCAATGTACTCGGCTTCTGTTGTCGAATCAGCTGTAGTGTCCTGCTTGGAACTCTTCCAGTCTACTGCTGCTCCATTGAGATTAAAAACATATCCTGATTGTGACTTATAGTCATCCTTATCTGTCATGAAGCTAGCGTCAGAGTAACCAGATGCTATTAGTTTCTCTTGTCCACCATAAACCAAGAAATATTCTTTAGTTCGTCTAAGATACTTAAGAATAGTCTTAACAGCACTCCAATGCCGTTCTCCTGGATTATTTTGATATCGACCAACAATACTAAGCGCATAAGCCACATCTGGCCTAGTACAGATCATAGCATACATGATTGAACCAATTGCAGAAGCATATGGAATCCCTCTCATGCGTTTGATCTCATCATCAATTGAAGGACTATCCTTCTTTGATAACGATATCCCATGACCCATCGGGAGGAATCCTTTCTTAGATTATTCCATTTTAAATCGATGTAGTATTTTGTCAATATACGTGGATTGTGAAAGACCTAACATCCTATTAACTCTGTCTCTATAGATCTTAATCCCAAGGATATAACAGGCTTCACCTAGATCTTTCATCATGAAGATATTGGATAACCATTCTTTCACGGACTTCAATAAGGGGATATCATTCCCTATGATCAGAATGTCATCAACATATATGACCATAAAGACCACGCTATCCTTGCTGCGTTTTGTATATACACACGCATCCTCATTGCTTCTGATGAAGCCAAATGATTTGACCGCTTC